TGTTGGAAAGAAAAAAGAGCAACCAGAATTTATATACACTGTGAGAAATTTAAATGATATAACAATCGATTCTGGAAAACTGTTTAGCAGTTTTTTAAAAAGGTAAGCACTTATCTACCATGTGACTCAGACGTTCCTCTTCTAGGCACTTAAGAAAATTAAAAGCATATGACCATACAAAGACTTATAAATAAATACTCATGGCAGTTTTATTATTAATAGCCAAAATTACAAATAACTCAAATGTCCATCAACACATAAATGGATAAAGAAATAATATATCTATAAAATGAAACATTACTCAGCAAAAAGTGGAATAAACTATTGATACGATAATCTGGATGAATCTCAAAATAATTATGCTGAATGAAAGAAACCAGACAAAACACAGTAGGCACTGCATGACTGCATTCATGCAAATATCTTGTAAATATAGACCAATAAACAGTGACAGAAAATAGATCAATGGTTTTCGAGGGAAGGGATGGGGAGGGAGAGATTATAAGGCATGAGCAAACTTTTGTGGGTGATGGATATGTTCATTATCTTGGGCATGGTAATGATTCCTTGAGTGTATACATATGTCAAAATGTATTAAATTATACATTTTATGGATATGAAATTATTTTTTCAAGTATACTTCAAAGTTTGTTTTTTTTTTAAATGCAATTTAGTTCTAACCCACCTCAATGTCGGACTGCAGAGAGATCAATCCCTCACCTACCTAACAGGAAGGAGAGAAGTTTGTATCATGGAAGATGACATCTTATATAATGACGATGAATTTTTCATTCACGATGTCTGCCAAATAATAAAAAAATTTCTAGACATACAAAGTGCTCAAGACTGTATGATTGATCATGAGAATAAGAAACATTAGACAAATGCAAACTCACAGATGATCCAAGTAGTAGGATAAGCAAATAAAAATTATAATACCTTTAATATGTTCAATAAAATAGAGAAAACGATGGACAAAATAGATGAAGGGATAAAGATTTTCACCAGAGAAATAAACTAAAATGTATTTTTAAGAAGAATCGAAAAGATACTCTAGAACTGAAGCTTTCAGTTCTGGAAACATGGTGAACTGAGCTAAGTTGGGTTCCTTTCAAAACTTTTAGTAATGCTGGATAAAACACAACAACAAAAACGATTTAGAGCTAATTATGAAGGAAAGAGAAGTTCCCAGGTGACAAAAAAGAAAACTTAGAGCCATAATGGGAAGCTCCTGGGCTGATGAGGGAAGGGGTTTTCACCTGCATAGTGAATGGGGTCATAATACCCATTCAGAAAAAAAAGTTCATACCAGAAGAAGAAATTCTCTTACCTTGCTGAGATCCCCCTGCATGAAAGGTATTGGAAGGGCCATATGTCTTCAGAGAAAGAAAGACTCAAAGAACTCTATACACTGACACAGGAAAGGGGTGAGGAAACTGGTCCTATCAGGGCCTCTGGGAGAAAAATAGCCTCCCTTCAAAAATCTAAACTACAAGCTCATGCTTCATGTTGGACATGGGATCCAAATTTATATTCTACTTATGATGTAGGAATCCCCAAGCCAAAACAAACAAACAAAAAGAACATAATTCGCAATTGATCAGATCACTTGGGTGCTAAGAACACAAATTTGTTCTCTAGGGAAACTTTATACAAACCAGGTGCATGGAACAATCCAGGGAAAAAAATAATAGTTGCTGAAAAGAAGCTCACACTACTACTACTATTACTACTACTATTACACACACACACACACACACACTCTCTCTCTCTCTCTCTCTCTCTCTCTCTCTCTCTCTGTCTCTCTCTCTGTCTCTCTCTCTGTCTCTCTCTCAAGACTAAGAACAACTAAGTTGGTAATAACCATGAGTAGAAATAGCAAATACCAAAACCCCAGGATGATTAGTATTAAAGAGCCTAAAATTATGAAAGAATTTTTTTAAAAGTATAAAATAAGTACAGGTGACTCATTTAAAAAATAATAGATCACAGAAAATATAATGAAAAAATCAGGACATCATAAAACAGAACAGTTCAATTTTTTTAAAGAACCAAATGAACTTATGGAAACAAATATATAACTATGGATATACAAAATTCAATGGGTGGGTTAAGCAATAGACTTTAACTTTCAGTATCTATTATGTTCATTAAAATTCAAGAGCAATCTCTAAAACACTTGTTTAAAAAGAGAATAAAAACAAAGGCACTAAAATGGAGCATGTAGAATAAGCCAGTCACTATTTTAAGTGCTTTATGTATTTTATCACTTTGAGGTGGATGTTATTCCTTTTTGTATATAAGGAAACTGAGACTCAAAGAGATTAGGTATCCTGGTTAAGACTGCACAAGTAGAAAGTGATAGATCCAAGCCCAGACAGACTATCTCTAGACCCCACATTCTTGACCACAACTGCATAGTATAAAGCGGGGGGC